GCCCCCTGAGAGCCCCAAGTCTCCCTCAAAGTCAGAACCACCATCTCCTGGCAACAGCGCAAGCCTTCTACATCTAACACCTCCGGTCTCCTGGCAACTGTGTTCATAGTGGTGGTCACAAGAGGTGGAGTCTGTGTTGTGCTACAAGCTGTGTGGCCACAGGTGCTGATGGCGCCCCCTTGAGATTGGTGGTGGCATCACAGGTGTGGAGATTAGAGGAATGACCACGCTGTAGAAGAGTTGCGGACTGAGTTTGTTCCAATCAAAAGAGTGGAGGCCAATCGTACAATCATACTCCACCTCCTACCCAGCCAGGCGTCATCCTCCACCAACCCCACGGAAGTCTGTCTCCTAGCAACGCTGACTGCGTGCACTCCGGGAGGGATCCGGAAGTCCACATGCTCAAGCGGTGATGTTCTTGGAGAGCATGTCAAAGCACCCCCTCCAAATATTTCTCTCTCTCTCTCTCTCTCTTTGGTCTACTCCAACTGGCTCCCACGCACAGATTTGGAACGGCTCCTGCATGCAGAGCCTGGGATGAAAATAACAAGGCCACAAAAATCTTCCGCTTTACAGAGTTTCTCTCTTTATGCCACCTATCATTTCTCTGTTATGAGTAATGGGCTAATGACCTCAGATAGCTTAGGACTTCAGGAGTGCAAACTTTTTTAAAATCTCTACTTTGTAATATTCCCATATTATCTTGGTATTGAGGACTGTTTGACCACAAATTGCTTCAAGGTTTTGCAACCTCTCCTACCTCTTCTGAACCCTTTTCACCTGTGATACTATTGCCACAAGTCCATTTAAAATCACTGCAATTGCTGTCAGGTGTCTCAACACTGAGAAGGTTAGGTGTTTTGCTTACTTGGAACAAATTTTTGTGGTAAATATTTATGGCTTTACTTTTGCCAACAGCCTTAAAGTTGGATTGGGTATCGGTTGGTATCAGTGAGAACTAGCAAAAACAACCCCAATCGAGCACTACCGGCTTGCTCTCCAGAGCCTAGACCAGCTCATTAAGGTTGGCATCACACTTCTCTCCATTTCCGTGAGTCTGCTGAAGCCCCCCCATCTTCCCCACCCACTCTCTCTCCTCAGAATTCCCACTGCAGCTCTCCAGCCTATCCTCAGGACTCCGGAGAATTCTGCTTTCCCACTAGTCAGTGGCGTTCAGTTGGTGAGCAGCTCCAGCCCACCTTCTGCACATCAGAGAACCTCTGTGAAGGAAAAGTGAAATTGAAAGAGGGAGAAAGACAGGGAGGGTGAACAAAAAGCAAGCTCTTGAACTAGCCCTCACTCATTGAGGAAGCCAAGTTGTTTGTGGGTGCCATTTTTGGGAGCATTTAAATCTGTCGAGTGTAAACAGACAGAGCTGTCCTAACGGAGTCCCATTAAAAAAGGGAGGCCCATTTTCTTCAAAGTGGTGGAACAGAGGCGTTGTTTGACACTTAATTCCTTTCCAGTTAATGCGGCGTGGACTGCAGGAGTTTAACCCTCTGTCTGCCTGGTCCTGGAGTTGGCCAAAGTCTCAGCAAGTGACCAAAGAGCTCCACTGCTTCATATGTACATTGAGAACTAGTCTGACCACAAGCAACCAGCAGGAAAACCTGTGGAGTTTCATAAATATTATATGTGATGAAAGTTGTTCAACAAAGAACATAGCTGCATGAAAAGTAGGATAAGGTTACAAATTGGATGAAAGGATAAAAATTGAGTTCAAATGAGTGCATATAAAAAATGACCACCTTACTGAATACTATGTTGACATGTATCTCAATATTCTTCTTTTGGGATGTTCTTATGTGCTCCAAGGCACAAGTTTAACATCCAGTGACCATGTTCAAGCAGCATGTCAATAGACAAACATCCCTGTGACTTCCTGCGTGCAGCCTCTCATGTGACAGGGGCGAGACTGAGCCTGTGGCAAAAACAAAGGCTCGCTCCACTTTCCAAACAAACTAACCCTGCCTCTGCTGCAGGTGGACACACTGGCTCACGTACTGGCCATCAACCCAGCTTTTCTGTGGGTGTGTTTTTTTTTATTTGTGTGTGTGTGTGTGTAGCGGGAGAGCAGGGAGTTAACTGGCTCACGTACTGGCCATCAACCCAGATTTTCTGTAGGTGTGTTTTTTTTTATTTGTGTGTGTGTGTGTGTAGCGGGAGAGCAGGGAGTTAATGCGGCAGGCCTGTGGCGGTCCTCCTGCCCTCAGCCAGATTAATCATGCAGCAGACCCCGTTCCCTCTGCCTGGGGGCCCAACTGTGCCCGCATGCTCTAAATATGCAGTGGTAACATTGACATTTTATTTTATGATTTAACATTTGTAAATGGTCTAAAGCAAAAAGAGTTGCAAAAATTCTGAAAATCTTTTAGAGCTCATAAATTGTTTAAAAAATATAACATATTACACATTCATGAATAAATCAGTATATATAAAATTATTTAATTGAATTTTTTGTTAATGTAAGCTATAGCTTCTGACCTTTAAATCAAAACATACTCATGATTTTATGGCATCAATTACTGCTTTATCTAATCAGAAACACAGTCTAAATATTATTTGTGTATTTTGCTTTAATTTTATTAGAAGTAGGCCAACAGCGCCCCCTACGGAATTAAAACTCCTTACTGGGCAGACATTAGGACCCGGGGGAGGCTGCCGCTGCACATGCTATTACTGTTTACTCTATCATACAAGGAATGCATCATTCTGTACATGCATTCTCAGTTTAAATGTAGCGATCCAAAACAGTGAATACAATCACCATTCAGGCAAAACTTTGCTTCAAGAATGAGCCACAATGCTGATGTGATCTAATGGCACTGTTGACAGTGATCTAATCGCTAGCACACCCTGAGCACATGTGAGTTAATGTATTCCTCTTATCGGCAAGACATATCGGCATAATTTTTAATATCGGGTCATGCCGATATTTACATTTAAAGCCATTATCGGCCGATTCTGATATTGGTCCGATAATATCGTGCATCCCTAATTAAATCAACTTGACATGAGCATAAATGATGACAGAATATTTATTTTTGGATGAACTGTGCCTATAAAGAAATATAATGCAAATAAAATAGTTTAACCATACAATTCTTACTTGCATTATGTTTGTCTTTCTCCGTTTCTCCCATTAATTATTCAGACTGTGAAATCGGAAGACCCTCAGTCTATGCCAGTGATTGTCAGTGGAAGTACCCATTCATTGGGATCCATTTCATCCCCTTCTGATACGGCATCACTGCATCCTCACAGTTCAGGAAAGGAGCTCCAGGCTGCCGATGCCGAACTCTCCAACATCCCTCACAAAGATGACAGCGATTTGACCATACACCATGTAAATATCTGTTGGATTTGCCGCATATGCTAACAGTGCCAAAAGATGTAACATTAATGATTATTAGCGTTCAAACTTTCAAGCTAACTGTTTGTGCAACTGAAGTTTATAAAAGGCCACCATTAAAATATTTCACTTTGCTAGCATAATTGCAGGTTTTGATACAAGGGAGAAGGGTCTGAAAATTTGTAAAATTATCTTCTGGAAATTTAATAGCTAAATGCAAACTGCACTACAATGGGCATCAATTACTGCTTTATCTAATCAGAAACACAGTCTAAATATTATTTGTGTATTTTGCTTTAATTTTATTAGAAGTAGGCCAACAGCGCCCCCTACGGAATTAAAACTCCTTACTGGGCAGACATTAGGACCCGGGGGAGGCTGCCGCTGCACATGCTATTACTGTTTACTCTATCATACAAGGAATGCATCATTCTGTACATGCATTCTCAGTTTAAATGTAGCGATCCAAAACAGTGAATACAATCACCATTCAGGCAAAACTTTGCTTCAAGAATGAGCCACAATGCTGATGTGATCTAATGGCACTGTTGACAGTGATCTAATCGCTAGCACACCCTGAGCACATGTGAGTTAATGTATTCCTCTTATCGGCAAGACATATCGGCATAATTTTTAATATCGGGTCATGCCGATATTTACATTTAAAGCCATTATCGGCCGATTCTGATATTGGTCCGATAATATCGTGCATCCCTAATTATATTATATTACATTATATTACTTTTTGAAAATGGTTTCCAGGATTTTGTTTGCATTATTATTATGTATATATTTTAATATTATATTTTTATTTCACTTTATTTAGTTTTATTTATTTATTAATTTCAAGACTTTTTAGGTCCATTATGATTTTGTTAAAATTATTAAAATGTATATTCTATGTATTCTAATAATAATAATAACAACAACAACAACAACAACATATGCAAACAAAATCTTGGTCCAGAAAATTATCTTCAAAAATATCTCATACAAAAATAATAATAATATTATATTATAATATTATAAAATTAACTTAAGTTACTTGGTTCTCAAGTCCTGCCCTATCTTCTTCTTTCTGCCCTCCCTCCCTTCCTTCCTCCCTCTCTCTCTCCCTCCCTCCCTGTGGCCCCTGACCTGTGGTTCCTGTGTTAATGTCCTCTCACCGCACTACGTGGGCCTGCTGATTGTCTCACTGTGTTGTGTGGTCGCCACGGAAACCCTGGATAGGCTCCAGTGACTAAGGCGGACACACATGTGTGCACGGCGCTCTTACGCATACACATTCACAGAGTCACACTCGTGATCTAAAGCTGTTTGTTCCACCGCATTTTCAAGCCCCACTAGTAGTCTGTTCAGTGTCCTACAAACACACATATGTGTGTTTGCGAGCCTGTCCGTGACTCTGTGTTCACACACACACATACACACACTGTTAAGCTTGTAAGCACCTGATCGCAACGAACCGAATGGCAAAACCACTCTCTGTTTGCCCTGTCAGTAACTGCTGTGCGTGTCTGTGAAAGCGAGAACGCATTCGACGGGATGTTTCCAATTTCACAGTCACCATATGCAGACAGAACAGATGAGCCGCACTGACAGCCTGTGCTGCTAAAAAGCATGCTATCTCTTTAAATGCCCCCACCTCTTAGAAGTGGGGCAGAGGGCAGAATTCCGGAGCGGCACGTCTGTGCGCTGAGCCAGGCCGCGGGGGGGTCACGGCTGCCAGGGGGAGAGGGGGAGGTGGGGAGGGGGGTTGAGTGGCGCGGAGGTCTTGGGGATGGAGTCTGGAGGTGTCAGGTAGCTGACTGGTCGTTCTGTCCTCCATGTCCATATAGCCAGGTCTGCTGAGAGCCGAGGGTGTCAGGAGGCAAGATCTCGAGTGGGCCCGATAGCAAATTGAGGACAAGAGTGCTGAGTCATCCTCCGAGTGTACTGACTCAGCCTCCTCTTTGGACTCCTGAGGCTGATGGGATACCTGCCATAGAAACAAATAAACCATTTATAAAAGAAGTACAAGTTGGACTGAGTTTCCAGCTACGGTTTTAAACCGAGCACTATGTTACTGTCCTAAAACATCCCATACGGGAAAGGGAGAAAAAAACCAACAGATGAAATCTTGTTAATGTCTTGATTATTTCTCGTAGACTATACAAGAATAAATATAGAGCAAATGGGAACTTCAGCTAAAATTTCACGTGTCTCAGATTTGTCTCCTGAGAAACAGACCACAGCTATTTCACATGTCTCCTCTAATGTTCTAAAGATGGGTTCGAAAGATCTCAGCAATGTCACAAACTCTGAGCAGTGATTTGACTATCAACTCAAATATCAAATTCTTCCCAGACCAAATTACCTGGTCTATGGCATTCACATCAAGTCAACAAGCATCTCATGTCTCATATTTGTCCTAAGGAATTTTAGGAGGAATATCTAAGATAATCCAGTGAGTTTTTCTGATCTCCTGGGCCATGAAAGATGAAGCTCTGAACAATAACATTTTCTCCTGTAATTTTACATTTAAGACAACACCAAACAATTGTTATTTGGTAAAACTCAAACATTGTGTTAGTGCCTTAAGATAATGTCAAGATGGCTCCAGCGGGTTCATTTGATATATAAAATGAACTAAAATAAAATAGCCTTAATAAAATAATAAAACAGCCTAAAATGAAATAAAGTAGCCTAAAATAACCTAAAACAAAACAGCCTAAAATACAAAATAAAATAGTCTAAGAAAAAATTAAATACAGTAGCCCAAATAAAAAAAAAGCACTTAAAAAATTAAATAGCATAAAATATCCTAAAATATAGTAGCCTAAAAAATTAAATAGCCTAAAAAATGACTTAAAATATAATAGCTTACTATAAAATATAGTAGCCTAAAATAACCTAAAATAAAACAGCTTAAAAAATATTATAGCTTACAATAAAATATAGTAGCCTAAAAATAACCTTAAACAAAAAATAAAATAGCTTTAAATAAAATGTAGTCTAAAAATAACAAAAAATAAAGTAGCCTAAAAATTGACCTAAAATAAAACAGCCTAAAATAAAATGTAGTAGCCTAAAAATGACCCAAAATAAATAAAATAGCCTAAAATAAAATATAGTAGCCTATAAAGTAACCTAAACTAACAGCTTATTTAAAAAATAAATAAATAAATAAAACAGATATAGCTAAACACCAAAACATAAAATAGCCTAAAAATGAGATATAAAACGAAATTGCCTTAAATAGCCGAAAATAAAATAAAAAACCTCTGGAGCTGCCAAAGAAAGCAGATATTGCATGCCTGGACTGTAAGAAGCACAGACCGTGTTTAGTGTTTACACACACACACAAGATGGAAGAGAACTGTGTGATGTGCAAGGACTTGCCCTGCCCAGGGGCTTGTGGATATTGAGGGATAAAACTGTGGTGGAAGAGAGAGAAATGCAAAAATAGGGAAAGAGAGGTCCCTGCCCAAACCCCAGGGGACAGTCCCACAATCCCATCCATCTGTGACTGACCGGCGCGCCGTCTCGCATGCTTTAATTCCCTGATCAACTTTATCAACCAGCTGCTCTTGAAGAACTCAGGGACCGAAATCAGGCCCTGGGCTCTCTCAGGTCCTCCTGCAGAGCACACACAGCCTGCCTGTCCTCATGCTCTCTGACACACAGGCCACACACTGAGAGCAATGCACCAAACTCTCCTTCAGCATTTAAAATGAGTTACATATGTAATATATGTTTTATATATCTCAATCCGTTAGGCTTACATATATTATATACCTTTTGAGTCTTACTCTTCTGGGTGTGGGGATGATATGAAAAATGGGAGGGACACTAATTATCAGGTTGCACGTGAATATTAACTGCATGACATGTTCTGATTTGCTGAAAAGCAGACAAAGTTGGAAAGAACTAGTTTTAGACTCATGCTCGCACACTCGTCTAACACTCCGTTTAAAGTGTATGTTGTGTTCAGCTGTTGTGGGGTCAAGAGTCTGAAACAGGTGTGGTCAGAGTGGCAGAGAGAGCGACAGCTGAGGGTAAAAGGATCTCAAGATGAGAGCACAAGGACAGCTGCTCTGACCTCCAACCCCCCTCCTCCGGAGCAGAGTGCCAGAAGAGACCACCGACATTCTGGGGAGGACATTCCTTTGCACCGAAACCATGTTTACACTACAAGCGGATGACGTGACAAAACTAGAACGTGTTAGTGTCAGTGTAGATGAGTCGGAGTAGTATATATGCTAACCCATTTTTATTTACAATATTACCAGTTTTTTTAATTAATTTTTATCATCACAAATTACATTATCATTAATAGAAAATATATTCAATTAAATAATCTATAACTAAATTATATTAGTATATTTATAATTTCTTAATATTAATGCATGAGTGCAGAATATTTCTTACTCATTTAAGATAAACTTTCCACGGTTTTAAAATTAAAATAATAGTATTTTCAGAAAAAAAAGGCAGACAGACAGACAGAAAGAAAGGACGCAGAGAATTCATCATATGCTGATCCGCTCTGTGTTAAAGGGCAGTAGTATCAATGAACAGAGGCTGTTAGATGGCGGGACTTTCCAGGGGCCTCTGGCGTAAATAAGATCTCTGTGGTCATATAGCATATCGCATCAGTCCAACCGGCCTGTGATTATGAAAAATTACTTGGAATTGTGATGAGTTTCAGTATCCTGTACCAAAAACTTTTATACCTGCTTAAAAAAAAATTATATATATATATATATAT